TCAATTGATTCTTTCAAAACATGACTCATTCAGGAGTTAAACAAGTGACTTTTTATTTGTGAATCACTGAATCATTCATTCAAGCAATTTGTTCAGAAGCACTGATTCATTCTGTAACAAAAAATGACTGCCTTTATGAGTAAGAAACTGAATAATTCACTCAGGAATTTAAAAAGAAAAACTATTCTTTAAGAATGAGTCACTGAATCATTCATTAAAACTATTCGTTCAAAAGCACTGACTCAATCAGGAACCAAAATGACTGCCTTTATGAATGAGAAAGTCCATAATTCAATCAACCGATGCGTTTGTAAATACTGATTCTCTAAGGAATTATAAAAGTGATTCTTTATGAATGACTCATTAATTCGTTCATTCTACAGATTCGTCCTTCAGGAACAAAAAAAATGACTGCCTTTATGAGTGAAAACCAAATTAAATCATGCACTCAAATGATTTGTTTATAAATTTCATGTTTATTCAAGAACAAATCATGAGGCTAAATTCAGAATACAGATGGCTTAATTTGACACTGTTTTGGATATATCAATTGTCTTTCATTGCGGATGCTTCATTGCGGATGCACAATGGATTGCAGGTAAATATTCGCCTCATCCAACGTTCTTTTTGTTTTCTGTCTAATAAAGTATCCTGTTATGGGAGTTCACCTGCTAAAAAAAAAAAACTCACACAAACATTTTAGTGTGCGAGTAATCTGTCCGAATAAATCTAAATGAATCACGCAACAATTTCAGAGATTTTTTACAAACTTCATCAAAAGAGTAATTAATTAATGAATTTGGTATCTGGTATCGCTAGTTCTGATTCTAAACAGCTGAAATATTTGCAGGTTCTTAGGTATATGATAATCTCCACCATCAGACAAGTATTTATAAGTAATATATTTTACTGAGGCTATTTCATTGGAGCTCGTGCACCAGTATAAACAACAACACCCCTGCCATCCTATGATTGGCCGGTCTGATATTGCATAGGGAGTTGGTGCTTCTTTTGAGTAAGTAATTACTTTGCGACTGTTAAAGCATGTTCTATGTAGTATGAATCTTTGTAGTATGAAAAAAAATCCGGATATACTACATTCATCATGTTATCATGTGGCCGTTCACAAATCCTCTCCCTTGGCCTCAAGTGTCCATTGGATGTGCACTTCAGAATCTCATCTGAAGTAGTAAAACATCCAGGTACTTAATTCAAACAGTACCTCTCTTCACATACTGTAGAGTACTTTAGTATGCAATTTCAGATGCAGCCACTTTGAGTGACTCAATGAATCATTCACTCAACCGATGCGCTCAAGAACAAAACCCCTCTACAGTATGCTGCTTGGAGAAGGCACAATGATTGATTTTTCTGTGGCTTCATTTAGAACTATTTTCATAGGCGAAACACCCTTGCAAGTGATTTAATATATTTAAAAAAGGAAAAACAACATTGACCAAAATACACTGTTTGTCAAAGACAATAATATTTGCACATGCAACATTTTTGATAACAGGCCATGTGCACATCAAACCACATTACAGATACAATGCGTTTATTTTGCTCTAGGCTTATGCTGTATAAAACGTATAAAATGCAGGAACAGCACTCAGTGAGCGTAGCAATTTCTCACAGGGCTCTTTTATGTGGGTGCTCACTGTTACAGCAGCAGCAGTAGACTAGTACTAATCAGCTTGTTGGGTTTATTCTTCAGCTGATTTATTTTAAGTGTCACATAAATCCAGAGCAAATGAATGGAGCATTTAGATAGAGTTAAAATTCTTTAACAAAATGACTGCACACAGTCCCGATGCTCTCTCTCTCTGTTTTGCTTGTCTGGCTGCAGCAGAGGGAATTGTTCTACTTACACAAAATGATCTGCATGAATATTTACCAAAAAAAGCCTTTTCTTGCCCCCCCTACCCCACACGCATACACACTCTTCCTACTCCAATTAAACATTGTTTGTCTTATTTGGGACATGGATATTCATAATGCCAAGCTTAAGAGCTTACGGCATCTAAAAAGCCATAAACGAAAGACAAATGTTTGTCAGCTGCAGAAACATTATGCAATCAATCAACTTATTAGAGGCAAAAGATTATTTCCACTTCAACAGAGTGCTGATACCGGCATAAGGAAATTAATGAATTTATTCTTATTGTATCACAGCAATGCATATGTACCTACGATGTGTTCTGTGGCTGCTTCAACACTTTATCATAGTGAAGGTAATGGAGCGCTTCCGCCTGGTGATGCAAACTCGATAGTGCACCAGTGCCACCATGTGGTGGGACGACAAATTCAAGGAGCTTGCTTTTCACTTCTTTCTGTTATTAGTCCTTCAAAGAAACCACCTATAGAGTTAGTAATAAAGCTCAAAATCGTGGCTGTGTTGATGGCAAAGTGCGCTGATGAACTCTCACCAAGGTTCTTGTTAGACAGAATGATGCCTGTTCCCACGCCTTACAAAATAACAAGCAGACGAGGGCAATGTTGTGTGTCTAAGGGCATTCTGGATGAAGACAACCTAGCAACACAAGGTAAGCAAATATCATCTGTTCAGAGCGCAGATCCCACACCATATGCCTACCCTTGTACTTGTCTCAGACGAACGTGGATGAGCATTCTAATGAGCCAGTTGGCTTTATCATTAAGCCTAATTATTACATGGGCATATAAATGGTACCTGTGTGCCACAATTCAATATATCCGCTCAGCTTAATTACTATCACTGCATCATCATAATGGCACTATGTTTAAGAGAACTGATTGCATTCATTAGTATGTACTGAAAAGTCTATTTTGGATATTTATGAGGAGTATTTGATTTTAGATCTATTTATTTAGTTCTGTATTCTTCTAAAAATGTCCATAAGAAAGTTTTTTTTTTTTTAATAACAGTTTTGCTGTTTATTTATTTGTTTTGCACTTTTGTGTCATAATTGTATATTTTATATTGTAATCTATCTTTAAATTATCAGGACATCTAAATTATATAAAAGAGACATAACTACATCACTGAAAAGTCTATATATTTTTATATTTATGAGAAGTTTTCTGTTTATTGATTTGGCTAAATATACAAAACCTCCATAAGAAAGGCCTTGAGAAGAAGTGTGAAGATTATTGTTTAGGGGAGACCGGAGCTAGTTGTCACAGGGGCTACATCTGCCTAACTAAGGGTTTGAATCAATATTTATTTATCTTTCATAATTGTTTCAATTTAGCTGAAATCCATTACAAAGAAGTGTATCTTGTTTTATTTTATTTTATTTTATTATTTCAGACATTACAGGTATGTGGCTATACACAAATTGTACACAAATCAATAATAAATATACCGAGAAATATTTAGGTAAAAAGTTTGACTACTAGCCCCGATCCCCCCCCCCACTTCCTGCCAGTATTACTATCCAAATTAAATGAAAGAGACAGACCTGCACCATTACTCGTTCCATGGAACCCACAGTGGAAATGATGTCACCAGTTCCCCAGAGAGGACAGCGCACCGCTGGAAAGGTTACTTCATCTCAGTAACCTTGTTTGCATATGAACGAATGTTGTTTATAGTTTTCCAGCAGTGTTTTTTTTATCCATTGATGAATAGGGATCATTTTCAGCTGTCATGAAATGATGGTTGAAATTCTGGATTTATATTTAGCTCACCGAGGGCATGTGACCAGGTTGCTCAGCAAATTTGATTTGTTGATCAGTTTGATGTCATTCCAGTTAATGACACAACACTGTACAAATAGACTTGGATGGGTATGGATCACAGATGCTTTTTAGACAGGTGTTAGTGCAAGTGACAACATGACTAAAAACATTTTAATGTACTGAATTCTTTAAAATCTCATTTTAGTGCAGCAATATGAAATTCTGGCTGTGGAAAATTTAAGCTAAATGTTCAGAGGTGTTTGAGACTTTGATATTGTCACTTACCTATACAATTATTTTCAAACAAGCCAGTAATTGAAGTCCAGCGGTGAGGTCTGATCAAACCATTTTCCCTATAGGAACCTATAGTCATAGACAAGAACCTCATTACTGACATTACTGGTAATGTAAAGTAACATTAAGTCAAATTAAGCCTCACAGTAGTTTACCACACCTTTTAATAATTTCTAGTTCTGTGTTTTTCCAGTGGTTGAATAAGTAGCAGATAAGGGCTGTTGCCAACCACTGACTCACAATGAGAGATCTTCATTATTTTGTTCTGAAGAAAAAAAAAGGTTTTAAACATCGCTGCTATATCCCGACAGAAGGAGAAGGAAATTGTTTATTTTATAAATATACCTCTTTTGTTAGGTTTCACCACTGTGCCATACATTTTGTTTACACTGTTAGAAATGGGGTTGTTACACTGGTAGTTGTATATGGGATGGGAAAAATAATAAGTTTTTACTTCATCACACTCCTTTTTATATATTTTGTAATGCATAACGTCTTATGGACGTGTTTTTTCTTTGGTGTTGAAACACGTTTGTTGTGTTTGTATATTTTGTTTTATATTGTGCTTTGTTCTAAATAAAAAAAGAGAAAAAAATAGATATTTATGAAATCTCGCAATAGTTAGCTTTTTCCACATTTCACCTGCTATGATTTTACATGTCACACATGCTATGATAGTTTTTTTATATTTCTACTATAATTTCAAGTAATTATGCTTATATTTTCTGTCACAACCCTGACATTTAATCTCTGTAACATTATTTTAGATATCGGTTTTACATTATCTAATGTGCTGTGGTGACAATGGAGTTGAAAATCAGTTTGGAAATGTATTCCTTCATGTAAGTAAATTCTACAAAGGTGAATGCTGCACAGATTAATAAATATATATTCCCTGTTTTGTCCCAATACTCGAGAAGTTTTACGTAAGATATGTATTGCTTAAATAAGAATTGTATTTCTTTTTTGTAGGCCTCCGAGCATGATGTTACCTGGTGCAGTAAAGATGCTACTCAGTAATGAAATTGATCCATTTTTTCCTCTCATTAGAAACACACCTCCAGACAAATATTATAACATAACGAATCCCCTTTTATAACGACTGGAAATGATTTTGGCAGGCCTTGCTTGACTCCAATCTTGGAGACGTTTCAGTTGGCATGGACTAGAGGGGGCACATTTCAAGAGAGCGCACACTTCCTGAAGCCTAAACAACCCCCGCAGAAAACAAGAAAAACAAACGAGCCCATGGAGGCGATAGCTGTAAAGTTGTAGCCCCTCGTCCGATGGCTCGGATGGTTTGTCCTGGTTAACGGGACACGTAAAAGCAGGTTTTATCGAGCGGCATCGTCGGGTACATAGAAAGGCCGATGTGCGGAGCGGCAGCGGCGGTGTGGAGTGAGCGCTGCGCGGAGGAGAGATCCATCGACCGGACCAGCACGAACCAACAAGCGGCCTAGCGCTAACACGCAACAGCCGGCGCTTTTATGTCGATAGGATACCCTTAAGTGTACTTCACAGAGACCCTAGGGCGTATTCCCCCCTTCTGAATGACAACACTTTTCCGTCGTTTGGCATGTCTGACATACTTTAATCTGGTTCGGAGCCTCTTAGCCGCCTGGCTAACGGATTAGATTGGCAGGTTAGCTCGTTTGCCGCTAAACACTTTTTTTAAGTGACTTATCATACACGTATATCTGTGTAATGCAGACTGTGTCGAGGGAAGAGGCTCTCCAGCTTCCGTTTTTATTCTGAAACCGTTCGGTTGTGAAGTCTGACGAGTTTTAGGACTGTAAAGTCTGTTGTTTGTGTATTAATGATCAACGTTAGCTGGCTAACGAGCTAGCGATGTCTATGTTCTCCGCCGAAATGCTGGAAACACCACCTGTGTACCCGTTTGAGGAGATAGACTATGCTGATATTGAGGTGGAAGAGGTGAGTGGCATGATAAGCAGGTGATAAAGTTAATAAACACACTGACAGGAGCGTGGAAATGTCCTGCAAACGCTCCCTCGATAGCTAATACTATCAGTGGGAGATTTGACATTGTATATTAGTATACATAACCTAATTTGGAACTTTATTTTTTTATGTTTTTCATAGTTTTTGTTGAGGCACACTGTGTTTGAAGTACTAATACGTGTGTTCTGTTGAATTATGCCTTTGCGGATTGTTTTATGAAACCCCTTTACACTGTTCTGGGTGTTATGTTTTCCTATGGACTCTTTTTTTTGTGTGCTAGGTTTGTTTTGAAAAGTTCTGCACTGCTGTGAGGTTGTGAATGTGTTCTTCCATTCAGTGTAATGTTCTCTTACATGTGTGTTGTGTAGGTGGTGGGCAGAGGGACATTTGGTGTTGTGTGCAAGGCCAAGTGGAAAGGTAGAGATGTGGCCATCAAGACTATAGAGAGTGAATCGGAGAGAAATGCCTTTATTGTTGAGGTACTATCATATTCTGTTTCACTTGTTCACATTAGTGACTAGTCAGAAACAATAAGTTGTGCATAAACAGACATTTGGTCTATTTTATTTCAAAAAAGCAATTGATTGAGTCTTCTGTATTCTCTCTTCTCCAGCTTCGCCAGTTGTCCCGTGTAAATCATCCCAACATTGTGAAACTGTATTTTTTTTTTTTTTTTGTTCTTGTGAAAAGAAACTTGAAACAAGGTTGCTGATATTTTACTGCAGGTATGTCTGGTGATGGAATATGCAGAGGGGGGTTCATTGTATAATGGTAAGTTTTTAGTAAATTATTTGCAACATTTTATTCACACAGTAGCATTACAAGATCTTTTGAAAACGTGCACAGAATTATTTATATCAAAAGCAGCTAGAAGGGTAGTAAATATCTAAAATCTTTTGTGAAAAGCGAAAAAAATCAATATTTGTCAAAATAAGTACTCTTATCATTCAAAAGTTTGGAGTTAATAAGGTTTTTTAAATATTTATGGATTAAATTGATCAAAAGTAACAGTAAAGACAAAAAAATAAATAAATAGTAAAAATATTTATTTAAAAAATGTATCATAAATAAATGCTGTTTCTTAGAAATGTATATTCATCAAATAATCTGTAAAACATTGTATAACATTCTCTACAAACATATTAAGCAACACAACTGTTTTCAACATTGGTAATAATAAGAAATGTTTCTTGAGCTCCAAATCAGCATATTAGAAAGATTTCTGAAGGATTATGTGACACTGAAGACGATTAATTACTGCTGAAAATTCAGCCTTGTCATGGCAGAAATAAAATACATTTAAAAATAGAATAGAATAGAAAAGTTATTTTAAATTGTAATAATATTTCACAATATTACGTTTTTTACTGTATTTTTAATAAATTCAGCCATGGTAAGCATGAGAGACTTCTTTCAAAAGAAAGAACCGACCCCAAACTTATGAATGGTAGAGTATGGTTATCAATCAGGGGATCGGGTCCCACTAGGGGTCTTGTGATGTGAAAAATACTCTTTGGCGTTTATATACAAATTTGCATACATGCTCAAAGAATCACAAGAGATTCTGTTATGCAGTATTTTTCGTGGTACAGTTTTACATGTCCTTTACCTAAATATTTCAAAAATAGTTAGTGCTCCCTAACCCCGGGCCTATAGTAATAGCAACTGCTAAAGTTCTTCTCAGTGTCCAAGCACATGAGGCTGTTCCACAACTGAGTGAGTGAATGTTTTAGCGTGTATGTGTACTTGTGTTTATGACTATTCTGTGTTGACAGTGCTGCACGGTGCAGAGCCCCTTCCTCACTACACTGCATCTCACGCCATGAGCTGGTGCCTGCAGTGTTCTCAGGGGGTCTCTTATCTCCACGGCATGAAACCAAAGGCTCTCATTCACAGGGACCTCAAACCTCCCAAGTATGCACCTCCATCATTTCTCTCTCATTACACTGTCTTGCATCATGACAGTGGAAAACACTGAAAATTCCTTTTTCTCCTCACCTGTATGCTTGTTACAGGGATTAAAGTTCTCCGTCGCTACGACGGATTTCCGTTAATTGCAGCGAGTCTACGACGGATTTCCGTCAATTGGAAAAAATGAGGGGAAAAGAAACATTTAGCGCTTTGTTGTTGTTGTTGTTCTGCCGGCCGGCACACCAAAAATCATCCCCGCCACGGCTGCAGCTTCTCAGTGACAACATAGTGATGCCGCTCGCATCATTCACAGTCGGGTTATTAGCAGAGAACACAGAGCAGAACTTGAATTTCGGCGCGGGATTGCGGCTATTAATAACAATTCTACTCATTCCCGCAGGTTCCGCTTATAACACGATAGATGACGGAATGTATCATTTGCACGTGCTTTCGAGTCTTAAGAACTCACTCGCGCGCTCTCATTTTCTGTGCGCCCACAGATCGCGATAAGGAGAGTGACAACTTTTAATAGTTATTAAGGGAGTTTGCAAATGTGATATTGATTTAATACAACAGTTCAAATTGTTTAAGTTTCATAATTTTAATTAATTAGACATGCGGTTTAGTTATGGCTGTGGAATGGGGTTTGGCTGAGGAAAAATTTTCAGTCAAAAGATTTTATTTTTGCTTTAACCCCTGTTGTTACAGTTCTAGTTCTTGTTGTGTAAGGTCTCCGTGTCCATAAAGATTTGTTTTTGCTATTATTCAAGGGTCTTAAACACACCTGATTACATTGAGTCTTGCCTGACCACTTGTGATCAAATCACCTGAGATTAATACCAGGTGTAAACAGACCGTTTGTTTTCACTCTACATGTGTTGATGTGTTGTTGTTTTTTACTGTAATGGAAACGTTACTGGATCATTCAGGGCTGCCATTAATCATAAATGCTGTCCGGTCCAGGTGTCAAGAGGGTGTATGTTCTGGAGTCTTATGCTGCATCACTTACATCATGGCAGCTAATGGTGTTGTCCAGGCCAGGGCTGGTTATTTATGAGGCTCTGTCAAGCCCTGGCAGCACACCATGGAAATGGTCAGCTGGCTTCTCTCCCAGACACTGAGAATGAAGTTCTCGGGAAGAACTGGGTTATTACTAACATTTGATATATTACAGCTCACTAAAGCTGGCATCAAAACTCCATGAACCGTTCAGAAGTGCTTAGACTGCGTTTAATAGGACTAAAGCACAGTTGGTGACTTGTTAACTGCCATCTGTATACCTCCATTTCTACTCAAAATATTGTAGCAGTTTCTAATTGAAGTGTATTTTAAAAATATGTGGTTAATCTTAAATGGAAAGTTTGGGGTGAGAACAAATTATTATTATTATTTTATTATTTATTTATTTTTTTTACTTTCTGGTCAACTGAGATATGAAATGTTTCTTGAGCACAAATCAGCATAATAGAAGGTTTCTGAAGGATCATGTGATGCTGATGATTTGGGTAATAAATGCTGAAAATCACAGGAACAACACAGAAACAACAATATAAATTTTAAGTATATATTCAAACAAAACCGTTATTTTAAGTTGTATTAATAATTCACAGAATTACTGTTTTTACTGTGTTTTTGATCAAATAAATTCAGCTGTGGTGAGCATATTTTAAGAGAGGTTTCTTTCATAAAACAAAAAAAATCTAACCAACCCCAAATATTTTAACTAGAGGGTATGTATTCTGTTAATGATAATTAATGATTTTTCCAAAGCAACTTACAAATTAGGGGAATTGCAAGAAATGTATAATATAAAAGCCAACAATATTAACAATGCCAGAAAATAAAGATGTTAGTAATCAGGTTGCACACTTTATTGCAACTGGCATTGCAATGAATGGGAATGCACACAACTGAATAGACTAATAAGCAAAAAAAAAAAAGTTGCAGAATTGGAGAATCTGAGACCACTTTTGCCATAGTATTCCCATGATGCCTAAAAATGCTCTCTGTGAGTTCGCTAAATGTTTTTCTTCTTCCTGGAGATATCTCTGTTTATATCTTTTGTATATTTTTTTTGCTCCTAGTCTGCTCCTGGTTGCTGGAGGTACTGTGCTGAAGATCTGTGATAAAGGGCCGACAAGATAAAGGCTCCCCCACCCAGGATGGCAGAAAATGAGCTTATGGGAAATAGCTTTCATTCTTTGTTGTATGGTACCATTTGCATCAATAATATTTTGGGCAGCTCGATGCAAACGTCAACCATACCATACAATAATTAATTATTTACCAAAGGAGCCGGACCCCTTGAAAATACTTTTAGTTCTATATTTTACTGTACTTAACATCTATAATTGTTCAAATTAAATATGATAAATGTACGGAAATTGTTCATCTACTACAGAAAATAATATGAAATATGTATATTCTTTAAGTATTGGTTGATGGATAATGCAATTGAGTGGGCTTTGGTAAGATTTATACTTTATATA